CTGGGAGTTGAAGTCCACTCATCTTAAAGTGGCCAAGTTTGGACAACACTGACCTAAACACTAAATTTGGTTTGGGGTGGTATCTGGAAGTTGATTTTAGAGCAGTTAATAATGAAAGATTGCTCTTTCTTCCACGTGAAACATAATGCAACCTTATTGCATAAGAACATGTCTTCCATTTTTAACATGCTATTTTCTCTTTAGATGGCTTCCACTGTAGCTCTTACCACACAGTAATAAACTCTCCAGAACACTAAATATTTAGTTGTTTATGGTAATGTGTTTTTAAAAAGCAAAAAATTGTGATCATAGCAAAAAAACAAATATGATTTCTTACAAATATTAGGAATTGCTGCAAGTCCTATTTGCCTAAAAGCAATACGGCTTAAGTTTACATTTATCATACAGTTGACAATCAGAAGCTAAATGCAGTCAGTGAAGTGGGAATAATACAAAGTATGCCATAGGTGTAGCTAGTCAGTTTTGGATTCTGTTAGAGAACATTGGAAGTCACCAAAAAATAGATTTTGACTATACTGTATTTTTAAACCTCTCTAAATAAAACTCCTGCCTATTATCTATAAGGTTCTTGCTTTGTGTTTTACTTGAATTGCTTTTGTTGCTATAAATATTGGAAAAACAGTCATGTTTTATTCACTGTGAAGAGAACTGACACTGAAATGATTGCCTTTAATATCTTTTCAGATAGACCTATTAATGAATATATTTTATCCATAGTCATTAGCTCCTATTATGGGGTTCTTGCACCAATCTAAAGCAGCATACTTAAAATTTGCCACTAGATGTCAGCAGTAGAAAAGAGAATAAGAAAGGATGTGGCACAAGGTACAAAAATGACTCAAAAGATTTATTTTACCTTACATTTGACACCCACGTTTGTTCAGCTATTCCTATTGCATTCCTTTCAACCATGTATATGTCTGGAACTTACTACCTAAACAGTATTTCTCGCAGTACTTTATTTACTTTGATTTTAGGAAGAGACAATAGTGTCTATTTTTCCATTTTTAACCCTTTTGAATTATTTGGGGGGGGGGTAGGAGTTTGTGTTCTAAATATATTAGTATATGAAATTATATTACAATATTGATAGTTACACTTCCCTGTAGCAAAGAACTAAGAGCTCTGAACCTAAAGGTCTATGGAAAAAAGTATTGAGGGTCTCCGCTGATCAGGACATAGTGGTGGAAGGCATTCGGCAAATTCATCTTCTAGAGCAGGCAGTGGGCTGGTCATGCTTGGTTTGGGAATTCATATCTCTGCGGGGTATGTTGCAAAGTGTCTTCAGCACTGGTGGCTTGTTCTCTCTGTGCGTGTGTGTTTGCGTTTTAAATACAATGACGAACTTCTTCAAGGGACTGTTGTACATTGCAGGGTGGCAGCCAGGTTTTCATGTGCAGTTCACGAAGAGAAGCTGGAACTGCTTGCATGTGTTAGTGATTGGTTATTAGTTTCAAAAGCTGAGGGAAAAGGAAGTGCATCGGTTTTTGCACCATCTCTGTAATACTCCCCAAACATTAAGTATTACTTTTAAACGTTTAAAGAAGTATTAAAAGCATGAAGGTTCTTTAGGGGGTTGAGCTGTTTATCTCAGTTTGTTTCTTCCAAAATGCTCAATACATTTTACAGTCCTGGATTTTACCCTCTAAGAAACCTGATGCAACTGGCAGACCTTTTCTGCCGTTAGAGAGCTTTGATGATCATTGCCGAAGACTGTTGTTCGGATGGCAGGTGGTCCCTGATGGAAGCATGGCAGTTTTGCCTGCTTTTCTCAGATAGACTAATGGAGGCAGTGGCTGGCTGAGAATTCAGGGACGTGGTTTTATTCTTAGCAACAGTTCTTCTAGACACTGGGATAACTCAGTTTTGAAAACTGCATATATATACATACATACATACATGTGTGTGTGTAAATAAATAAATAAATAAATTTTGGAAGTCATGAGTAAGCAGGAGCATTGATCTTCAGATCAACTTATTAATCAAGAAACTCATCTGAGTTTCTGCAGAAAGTCTGGAAGTAAGCAAACATGGTTGGAAATGGTGCAGTTTTCATTCTCCTGCATTGTCCTTATCCTGGGATCAATTGCTTCACCTCCCCTGCCTTGTTCTATAAATGAATAGGGCAGAGAGTCATAAAGTTTGGCCTTGAGACAGTGTCCCATGGTGTGCAGAATTGAGTTTTTATAGCTTAATCTAGGACTAGATATTATCCTTTCATCATTTTGCTGAGATTTCATTTGCTGCTCTTTCAACATTAGAATATGTTCTTCTTGTGCAGTTCTTGACCAAGGCAGGTAAAGATAAAAATACTTAACTTGTTAAAGAGAAAATGTTGCTGAATCCTATTTTCTCACCCCCTCCCCCTTCCCCAATCCAGCAAAAGACTAGCAACTATTTTCTCTTATTTCAATATTTAGATTGAATTTCTTGTCCAGTGTTCCTGCACTGTTCTGTTTGCCATGGAGCCCCTCAAGACTTGGGATTTTGTGATTAAGATATGCATATTCTTTAATCTGTCTATCTAAATATAGATATACAAAGAAGAGAAGGGAAGAAAACTGGACAAAAATAATTCCATTTCACAGTTTGCAATCCAGATTTTTTGCAGAAACTCAGATGTTCTGAACACTTGATTAATAATAAGCTGATCTGAAATATCAATGCTCCTGCTTACCCATGACTTCCAAAAAAATAAAAACATACATTTGCAGTTTTTAAAATTGAGTTATTCCAGTGTCGATAGAACTGTTTCTAAGAATAAAACATCTCTGCCATGGCATCAGAGGACATAACATAAAAACTTTTGGATTGTGCCCACAACATTTTTTTCCGATTGATCACTTGCATTCTTCTAAGAAACTGAAATCAAAATATGTGCCAGTGTTAAAGATGAAAACCAGAAAGTTAACCTCCCTTTCATGTTAGATTTAATTTAGATAGAGAAAATCAAGAGGGCTGTCCTTCTCATATAAAATGTCTTAGTATCTTGTTGATCTGCTTCAAATACCTTAAAGTTATTAACCAAGGAATACCTCTGAGTAAGTATATCAGTCTTGAAGTAATATTGTCTAGTATTCCTGCACTGTTATTTTTCATTCTCATGCAGTCTCTGGAGGCTTGGGATTTTCTGCTAGAGAGAGAGAGAGGGAGAGAGAGAGACTTTTCAATAAATTATGGAAATCATGTAGGGCTCATACAAATGGGCTTTGTAGTTATGAAAACACAAAATATATTCTGGCTTTTCTTTTTTTTTTTCTTGTCATCCCTCTTAAGGTAAAAGCTTCAAGTGTGGGACAGTTGTCTTTTTATAAACTGAGAGAAAGCTATACACATTATATCACCTTGTTGTATAAAAGAGGTCATCCTTTTTGCATTGTTAAGATTTTAAGGATGGAAGTGGTAAAAATGGGAGAAAAATATAAAGAAATAGGCACCGAGGATTAGAAAAAAAACATTTTACAATGTTTTACAAATGGTATTCATTTTACCATTTGCTTATTGAAAGCATGATAAAAATATTTAATATACTTTATGTGCAAATTGACTATTTTTTTCTTTGTTACCATGGAGCTTACAAATTTGGCATTAAGAAGCTTATGAACAATAAGAATTTCCTAAATTAAAGGACATATATCACTCAGCATAGTGCAGTCAAGAATTTTATATGTTCAGTAGATTCCCTGCATGTGGCATAACTGATCTTCATAATCAAGGACAATCCTGTACTGATCCAATTCCTAAAATTTAGAAAAAATATTATGCTGCCCTTTTGTTAAAAAAAATACAGATTTGGAAATAAACAAAGAAAAAAGTACTCATAGAAATATCCTCAAAGTGTTCTCTCATCCAATGGAAAGTATGCAATCAGCCACTTCCTTACAGTTTTGATAGAGCACATTCATGGATCCAGTTGAAAGCAACTTAAAAGCTACATGAAATAAAATGGGTTTTAATGTGTGCCATAGTATGTGAAGAGACCTTCATTTTGAAGGACATGGGGGATCTGCATGGAGTAGTTTGCAATTTGCACAGATGGTGAGTGAGAATTACTTGAGCTGTACTGCTAGGTTGGATGCCATTGGTGCATCAAAACACATTTCTGGTTTGTTGTATGCGTTGTTTACCCATTTTTAGAAATTATGGGAACTGACGCATGGTTACTATTGTTTTTTGTGATTTAAACATTTGACAGTCTTTTTCATTCATTTATATTAAATCCTTTCACATTGCACTTCAGCTTAATTATCGTTGTGTATGTGGGTGTGAGAGAGTGAGCAATCTAAGCAGCCCCAGTGTATGATACAAATGCATTAGTTAGTTTTTTAATCTGTTTAATCTAAGTGTTTTGAACTTCATTTGAGAAGAAGGAGAGAGGTATGTACCTGGCTTATAGAAAAGCTACCGTGTTACCTTCAATGTTGGTTCTTCAAGTGAAAAAGTAGAATAGCTTTGCAGTTCATTATTTTGAGCCTGCAAAGAATTATTTATCTTGGGATTTTCTTCCATAAGTATTGAAATTGGAGGGGGGGTATCAGTCATTGAGCCATGTGTTCCATACATCAGTTGGGTACAAAGTAGTTATTAATGCACTCTTATCCCTAAGGGAGTTATCTCTGATTCTTCAGAATTGGTATTACAACTTGTAATTTCAGTGCTGCTTCCTCTGAATTAAATCCAAACTAAAATGTGTCAGATGCATCCAGCATGAAGGCCATGCGTGCAAGTCTTATTTTGAAAATATGCCCCAGCTTTCTGCCTGTCTGATTTTGACATGGCCCCTTGCATCAGACAATCCCATAAGGCTGTAATGGGCCGAGTCTTTGTAATCAAATGCAGCGTTCCGTACGTCTAATTTGGCAAAAGTAGGTCAAGTTTGAAACAGTATTTCCCACTGATTCCTGCAGTCTATTCTATAGGGCCTGGAAGCACAGTTTGCTGATATCTTGGTGTATAATCTGGAACAACCAATGGTATGAATCATATGGTCGTTGGCATTTCAGCCTGTAGTACCTACATCAGACAGCATCTGATAATGAAAATTATTGCCTAAAAATAGACAAAAAAAGGAAAGCATTAAAGTAGATGAATATGTTATCACTTAAAAGAGGAAAATTATTACATTTTTTAACAATCCAGAATAATTAAAATACATAAAGAAGATTGATTACTTGTGGACTATAGCATTCATATGTTTTGCTTTCTGTTGATGAATGTCCATTGCCATGAGCCTACTACACCTGTGCCCCTGGCTCTGCACTTTTGGATGCAATTCAAATTACTGATCATTAGCTATCACACCCTACATTGCTTGGCACGGAAGTACTTATAAGAATGCTTTCTCCAACTGGAACTGACCTGCCCAAGCACCCATCCCTGGAGCAACTGCTGGTGAGCCTCCATGTCTATGAGCTATGGGTAACAGCCTTCCCATAGAAATTAGGTTAGTCCCCACTTTCTTGGCTTTCTGGAAGCTTTTGAAAAGTGAAATATTCCAGAAGACCTGTGATGTGTTAGGATGCCTGGTTCAACTTGATTTAACTGATGTTTATGGGTTTATATTCTATATGTTTTATTCCCACCTTGGATGTTTTAATTTAAAAGCTTGTTTTTGCTACTGTAAGCTACCAAGAGTCTGTTAATTATGGCAGGTGGATGAGAGGAAAAAGACTATCTGTTTAGTTCAACTTTATTATTCCCTCCAATGACATTTAAAAAACCATATAGTTGACTGCAGTTTTTTGTAAGGTTTTATACCTGGGCTAGATGTATATTATAGCCAAATTAATTTATTTGCCTACAAAGTAGAAAGGGTGTCTTCACTAACTTGGCAATTACAAGATCTGTTAAGAATGCAGTTCCTTGGATTCAGCCATGCTGGTTGGGAACTTTGGGAGTTGCAGCTCCTAATTCTCCTAGACAGAACCAAAAAAAAAAAAAAAGTGGGCACCAAATAATTTAAAATTAACCCCAGACATGCAAAATACTGAATTGGTAAGTTCCAGTTCTATGTCCACTTACATGAGCACAACTTACTTGAGGAGAAAGTGTTCTAACAAAACTTTCCCATTGTTGTTCTTTGCTGATTCTCTTGCCCAACACACACACACATACACACGCTCAGATGCTGCTGCAGAGCTTGAAAGGAGGGTGGTGAAGGATGTATTGGAAGAAATCCAGTAAAGGCCAAGACAGGGTGCTTGAAAAAAGGTCTGTTTAAGACCAACTGAGTCCTGTTTATGGAGGGCGAGAGAAGATAACCATCCCGAACTCTTTAAGATCATGGATTAGGAGGTGATGTGGACCATGTATGTGACAGCTAGGAGAACATGGAAAGCTGTAGAACAAATTATAAAGAAGGGCCCAGGAAAGTAGGTTGGAACAGGGAGGCAGTTATTAAGGAAGCACTGGGTGCCCATTTATGAAGGGTTGTGACAGTGGCTGGTAGTAGTGTTCCTGCCCCAATGCTAAGGGAGAGTTCCCCTTCTGTCTAGCCAGGTTGCCTGCTGTGTAGCTCCGTCTCATAGCATGGAGGAAGGCATTGAAGGATTCCAGTTGGCGAAGTGGACGAGTGCAGGGTTGGCAGCTCCCAAGTTGAGGGAGAGAATGGTTAGATGGTGGAAGAAGCATTTTGGGACAGGCCTTATTCACTCATTAGCTGGGAAACTGCAGTGTTCCTTCATGTCCAGTCAGCCCCCAAGTGTAAGATGAGTTTCATGTGGGAATGGGGAGGCTCATCTTCTGCCAGCTGGGATGTGAGGTAGTGGCAATCCTGTTCCAGTTCCCATCCTGAGCAAAAAGGTGGCTGGCTCATCTGTTGGACTCGTTTCTTGCCGGTACCATTTTGCAGGGAGGCTCTGGGGATGGCTCCAAGGCCCTGGAGCAGTGCAGGTTATTACTTCCAATTCAAGCCAATCATATTTTCTTTCAGTTTGAAAAGAGAAGCCCCCCCCCCCTTGCTGTTGGTAAGGAGGGGGAAAGTATGTAAGGCCAATCCAAAGTGTGATGAATTCTCATAGTGACAATTCATGGCTTCCCTTTTTGTCTGGATTTTTTACAGAAGGCCATGCCCATGAGATGCCAATCCTGTGATACTTGGTACCAGATTCAGCATGCAATCCTTTTTTAAGAGGATGGGGAAACAACCATCTAAAACCTACAGGTGTAGAGTATAGTAGCAGTAATTTGGAGCACTCAGTGTGACGGTCCCTAAGAATCCTAAGTTTATTTCATTAAACTGTGAACATATTTTAAAATCTCTGGATATATAGACAAAAATTCCTAACTCTAGAAGGGCAGCAGCATATGTAAATCTGTTTCAGCGGATTTCATGGGATTTAGTTTGAAATTGTATACTTACTAGACAATGTCAGATGATATAATATCAGAAGTGAATTTAGATTTATCTGTTGTTCCGTTACAGTCCAATCGAACACTTTTTGTACTTGAAGAGTTCAACGTAAGTCTTTCCTTTTAAGTTTTGTTAGCTTGAAACCTCCAAGAGTTGCTTTTATATTAGTAATATACCCTAAAAAGAAATACGGGGGAGCAGTGAGGAAGCAAAAATTCTCTGGTGCACCTTCCTAATGTCATATAGCTCTTAAAGTAACTTCCTGCAATACAGATGCAATACTATAAAACAGCCAGAAGTGGCTGGTCTTCCTTTCAAGGCCAGCTGGAATGATAAAAGCTGAAAAGGCAGAAGGAACTGAAAATTACTGATTTCTCAGTTGAGCTGCTGAAGTCCTGCTTCCGTTGTTACACCTGCTGCAGCCTGAGAGAATGGCTGCTAAAGGATAGCAGGAGGTAACATTCAGTGAAGATGGTTTCTCTGTAGGGCTGATGGGTGGCCATGGTTTCTTCCTTTCTCGTCATTTACATGTGACCAGAGTTAATAATATAGAGAGCTATGTTAGCGTAGAAGTGTGCTAGAAGTGATAGTGTATTGCTCCACTGGGAATTCCCCCCCTTTCCCACATAAATCATATTACATTATGGTTACAGTGGTTACATCATAAGTTGTGAGCACTGGTGGGTAGTTGGTTCAGGGAAAAGGAGTCCTAATGAATTCAAGATTTAATTTTATGTCCTTGTTCCATGATGTTGAAAGATGTTAACTTCTGACAGCAGCTGGCTTATTAAAGACCCAAGTCTGTCTTGACCTATGAGATTATATAAGAAAGCTTCAGAAACTCATCCTTCTGCTTTTTTAACCTTAATGCATGCAGTCTGCCCAAGTGGATGAGTGGGGGGAGGTAAGTTTTCTTCATTCATGCACCAATAATTGCTTTTTCAACAGATGATTTCCTGCACCATCCAAGTTCCACGCCTCTGATTTTCCCAGAATATCATTTGTCTCAACATGATACCTTAAAGCATAGACTTGCCATCTTGTTAAATTGTCAGCATTTAAGATTCTTAGATCTAAAAGGAAGTAGTTCTGGGGTGTCATCCATCTTAATCCATAGCTTTCCCTGTACAACTTGCTGTGAAAAATGAATGTTGTACCTTGTGTGTGTGTGAAGCAAGGTAATTTTAGTAGTGAAATGTACAACTAGCTGCAGAATAGAGACCACAAAAGGCTGCATTGTACTTATACCTCAGTAAGTTATAAATATTTTCTGGGTAGCAGAACACTGTTAAAGGCTAAGCCAATTGGTGTGAATGAGAAGTTGCCATTCAGCTCTTGTTCAGTGCTAAAATGGCTCCAGAGGTTTTACTTTGGAGATGTTATGTTTGTTGCTTTGTTCTGTGTTATTCTCTCTTCTCTGCATAAAGGAAACAGATCTTCTCAGGATGTGTATTAGCTGTAAATATATAAATAATTAAGCAATAATAACCTTGATACCCCCTTCCATGGATATTTCAAGAAAGTACTTTGTGAGGGGATGAAGCTGTATACCTCTAGAAGCCAAATAGGAGAAATGCTAAATATAGAAGAAAAATAATAGTTCTGTAGTTATGATGGGTACCTGACATGATGATACAGACTGGGGAATAAGCAATTTTTCTGCTTTTTGGATGTTCTGGATTACAGTTCCCATCACCTGCTATGGAAGTCATACTCCAAAACATCTGGAGGGCATCAACTTGCTTGCTTCTAATTTAAAGTGTGGAAGATTGATCAGAATTTACTGTTAATCTGATGTAAAACCAGGAAAGGAAAGAGGACCTGGTTGCAGATCTGCCAAATCTATGAGCTGTGGCCAAAGTGAAAGTATCTTTGATCATTGACAAGGGAACTGGATTCAGTGGTTCAAATAGTCCCTTCCAACTCTAGGAATCTATTAAATTTAAGAAGAGCAGTATATGTGTGTTTGGAGAGCTGTGTGGTATGTGGCTTTAGTGAATACTGAATGGGGTTCCTCTGTCTTCCATTTGTGATGGAAGAACCAATTGCCATCTGTAGGATATTGGGAATTTGGAGGTGATAATGTCCACTCTGTTGATCATTGACAGGAAGTTGAAAGCTCCAAGGGTATGTGGATATCAATGCATATGTTTTCCCCGCCTCTTGATTTTTCAGCACTTTCCTAAAGAGAATGTCTTATTTTTGTCTCAACAGGCATCTTAACATGGGGAACCTTCTTAAAGTTTTGACATGCACAGACCTTGAACAGGGACCAAACTTTTTTCTTGATTTTGAAAGTGAGAACTGTTTTTACTTACGTCTCATACACTCTGTGTATTTGTTTTGTGCATAGCTGAAGAAAAACTTTATTCGACAGTGCCTGAATTATAAATGAAGCTCCCTTTTATTGGCTAATTTATATTGGTGTTGCTTCCACAAGGATGGAAACTCTGAGCAGGTGTTGAGAGTAATCATTGAGACAATAATACCTATGTAGGAAAAAAGGGTCCATTAGGTTTGTTAATTACAAGTTATAATATAAAAGATTATATTTACTGCTCTGAAGTTAGATACTACTTTTTCAGGAATATGTCTTTTATGATTTAGGGGCTTCTTAGAGTTAATCAAAAACTGTCATGAACCTGAGTCCCAGTTTGGACTCTTACAACTTACCTTGATAAACTTAAATATGTTCAAGTGTTTTGCTAGTGCCCCACAACTTGTTCTCAACTTCAGCTGAAGTTCAGATCTTGCTGAACTAACAAGTCTCCAACCATCATGTCCCATTTTGTCAAAATTGGGAAACCAACTTCAAAAGAAAAGAGGGCCTTAAACCTTATTCTGAAACTGGTTTCTTTTGAACTGAATAATCACAGTTCTGCAGTTTGAATGAAATTAAGAGGCTTCCTTGTTCAATGAAGTTTGCTGCAAAGCAGCTGGATGGGCAAGCAGAACATCTGTGTCCAACTCTCCTGGTTAAGTCCATAATGAACATTTCCATTTAAAAGTTTTCCTTATTAAGGCTGTGCAGGCCTTTGGATTTAAAGGGGAAAAGGTTCTGTGGAGCACACAATGGTATACTCATGTCACTAGGTGGCAACTCCTTAAACTACATTCATCTTTATCAGATTGCACTGCAACTACGGAGGGCAGCTGCGTGATCCTGGGAAAAGATGCAGCTACTTCAATGGGGTGGTGCTTCATAGTTGTCCCCATTTGCTCTAGAATACTTCTTTTCCTTCGCATCCAAAGCAGTATATAGCCCAGCTCCTAGTTTTCAGAAAGCACTGCTAGAATAGAGAAAGGTGCTAAATGTTTCTGATTTTGAATAAAGATTTTTTAAAATTATAATAAGTTCTGTGCCTATGTGGCTTTGTAACAGTTGTAGAATCTCCTTTTATTAACCTTTTAAAACCACTCAAAGTTGTAGCTAAAATTCCACTAGATGCTGATCTTGAAACTAATATAATGTAGCATAAGTTACTACATTACCTTCGAACAGTGATACGTTTTTTGGTGCTGGTGACATAGCAAAGAACATACTGCCTGAAAAGGTAGCTGATTTGCTTTAATCTGCAAGATTCTTGCTATATTATGAAAGAGTAAATTGATAAAAACAGATGTAATAAAGATAAAAACAAAGCCACCACCAGTATAACGGTTAAAAGAGATTTACTGGTTGCTAAATATTAATAAATAAAGTTAAGCCATGTAGACATTATCTAGATTACACATATGCTTTAATGGAAAGCTACTCTTTATAACAATTGATAAATACAATTAAGAGTAAAGTATGGGCAGAATGTTTGGAATTTAAAAAGGGATAACTGCATACGCAACCTGATATTCTCTCCTGTTGTGTAGATGCTCAGCCTACAGAATCAGAAAAAGAAATTTATAATCAGGTAAACGTAGTGTTAAAGGATGCAGAAGGAATCCTGGAAGACTTACAGTCATACAGAGGAGCTGGTCATGAAATACGAGAGGTAAAGCTTTATTGGATGTGGTATCTCATATTCACTTTAGCAATCCTGTTATACAGCTTGGTGCCCATGAACTTCATTTTGATCGGTGAGGGCCTCTTGATGTCTTAAATGATTAAATGTTAGATAGTGTTGTTTGTTTATTAGCTTTAACATAATACATAACATAATACATGCTCAGTGTTTCAAGAATCTTGATCAGTGTTTTTCAAACTTGGCAACTTTAGGTTGGGTGGACTTCAGCTCCCAGAATTCCCCAGCTAGCCAGAATTCTGGGAGTTGAAGTCCACACAGCTTAAAGTTGCAAGTTTGAAAAACACTGGTCTTGATCAAGCATGCCTTTAACAATCATACAGAGGGTTTGCTTTTTACTTTTCCATGTAAGTGATCAGTAGCTTACACACAAATTACATCTATTTCTCATTTGTTGTGCCACCTTCCATACTGCTTCCCTTAAGGATGCACTCTGTTTAAGGCATCTCTTTTCCCCCACTTTTTGAATCATCAGTACGTGGTTGTTGAGGATAGTTCAATTGAGATTGCTGTACAAGCAGTCCTCACTTACCTACTGCAATTGGGACTGGCAACTCCATCGCTAAGCAACACGATCGTAAAGTGAAAAATCGCATGACTGCACCTGACTTAACGATGGCAGTTTGTCAGTCCTGGCTGTGGTCATTAAGAGAATCACCCATAGTCGTTAAGCACAACATCACATGACCACAACTTGTGACTTTCTGCCAGCTTCCCTGTTGACTTTGCTAGTTGGAAGCCAGCTGTGAAGGTCGTAAATGGTGATCAAATGACCGTGGTACACCGTGACCATTGTAAATGTGGGCCGGTTGCCAAGCACCTGACTCACGATCTTGTCTTTGTAAAAGGTGATCCCCATAAAGTTGTTATTGAGTGGACTTCAACTCCCAGAATTCCCCTG